TGGAAAGCCCGTTCATCATGTCGATGGCTTACAGAGGAGGACAGATGGCTTTCACAGAGGAAGGGAGCATGGGGAAGTCTTAACTCCCAGTGCTCATTTTTATTTTGTCTACAGATCACTCACAAGGACCCTTTGCTGAACAAAGACACAGGACAGTTGGACAAACTGTTTCTGGTTTTGCTGACCTGGCTTAAGGCATTACAGTCCCAGAAGCCAAACCCCAATATGGAGCAGGTTTCCGTACACCAAATTCTGCTGGTTTATCTGGCTGCATCTAACAAGCCTATAAAACATTCTTGAATTTGAAAGCTTGTTCTTTTAATAGGGAGTTTGAAGCAGGCAGATAGTGAATAAGCCAAGCAGTAGCTTTTCATTTGAAAAGTAAGGAGAAAAAATAATCAAAGTTTCATAAAACAAAACAATGGTGAGTGAAAGCTGGCACTCCCTTTAACGTGCAATGCTGCATAGCAGGGCAAGTCGGTTATTAACCAGAGGGTGTTTAAAGTCTCTAAAAGTGATTGGTCAGATCCTATCTATGCTGTTTCAGAAACTGAAGCAGGGTATGCCTAAGGGTATGGTTTCACAACATTTTAGGCTGAATTAAAACCTTGCTGCTACCACAGAGAATCATCCCTCCTTCCCTCTCTGCCTGGGTGTATGTTCCTGCTGGGTTACCCTCAAAAGAGCTAGAACAAATGAAACGTTATCTCTCAACAGCATGAAGGACTTGAACCAATGCAGAACACCACATGCAGAGGAGAATCATCTCCGGCGTGCACGTCTCATCCATATTAGAGACAGGAACACCTATCTTCTCCATTTTATGAAGGTTAGGTGAAACCTGTAGCAAACCACCAGCACATTTTCAGCTGGGCTCATAAAAACTTACTGGATTGAGGGCTAAATATTTAAAAAAAAAACCAAACAAGGATGTTTCTGCTGTTACATTCAGGATGCAAAGATAAGAGCATTCCTCCATGAGTTCTGAAGGAACCAGCCTGCCACAACCCCAGCACAGCAGAAAAGCAGGCAGGTTCCTGCCAGGCCCGAAAGCTGGCCTGGCAAAGGAGGTGACGAGTGCCAGAGCCCGGGGCTTGCACAAGGGAAGAAGAGGGACGCTGCAGCTGTAGGCAGGGGGGAGGAAGGGTCGGGTTTCTCTCCTCTGATGACAGTGAGTTAGATCAGTTCAGCTGTAACATGTAATTTCATCCTCAGATACCAAAATGCTGAGCACACGTGAAAAAAAAAATCATATCTGGGGAAAGAAGTGAGCAGACGTTTCAATAAAAGCCACTAGTTTAAAGCTGAATGTTTATTAGTAAGTGTTTTAAATGTCTTCTAAAACTTTAAAAAATAATAAAAAAAATCATCAGGATCTGTCAGGGTCACAAAAGTTGGCACTTCAATAAAAAACCCACAATGATTTCAGACCTGCTGATTGAATTTCAAAGCGCAGCCCACAGAAACCTTGAGTCAAACAGGAACAGGGCACTCTCCTTTTAAAAGCAGTCTCTGTTCGCAGCGCAGAGAGGGGTAGTTTAAGGAAATGCTCAGGTTGCTCCAACCACACTTCCAACCTTCAGAGAAAGCTCAGCACTATCCCCACCAGCACAGAGCTGGGCTGAAGCCAGAATAAATTTGGCATAAAGTACAAATGCCCTGACTTGGAACTGGATACAGCCAAAGCGTTTGTTCTTGGGGTGGGGGGTGAAAGGAGTTTGAGACAGAACCCAGCAGCAAGACTGTCCTTTGAATTAGGGCTGACAGGGTGCCAAGGATGCCCACTGAAAGTGGGAACAAGAAAGGGACCAACTTTGGCTCTCATACCAGGCTTTGGGCTCCCAAACCACTACTTGTAGTGAGTCACATACTGCCCTGCCAGCACACCGAGCAAAAATTGATCTGTTAAAGCAGAAGTGACTTAGAAAGGGTCTAAAGGAGACAAACCTGGCAGGGTCTCAGGTCACGAAAAGTTAAAATTACACTTTGGCGTGAAGCCAAGTCAAGACTCGAAAGTCTGTCACTTCTTTGTGAGCTCTCGCTTACTCTGTACTGCGAAGGACCTGATAACGGTTAAGCCTGATACATGTTTCTCACTTCAGTCACTTGAACAATACACTATAACAAAATAAATCGGACTCGTTCTCCAAAAGCCAGGAAGATAATTATGGAGCTGTAATACAGAGCCATGCAGTTCGTTTTACACAGATGATGGGAGATCGACCTAACTATGCCCGCAAAAATCACTCCTGGCAGCATAATCTGCATGTGATCAAACAAACAACAGGTTCATAGGATCAAATTTGTACAACTCATTGCTAAATAAGCACTATCTGAAGTCTCAAGTTCACTTTGTTTTATTTCACTCAGAGAAAAGAATTCCACATTCACCACATACACTCTAGAAATAATAGTAGTATACAGGCACTTTGATTCAAACTGGCCACAAAATACTGCTCATGTAGCTTTTAGGCTTTAAAGCCATTTATCAGAAGTGGTTTGGCCAATTCTTAGTCTCTAAAGGGAAAAAAGAAATTACGTTGGCTGTTCAATTTCAGGATAGCACACCTATGACACTTACTACATATCATCTCAGGTTAGTATTCAACCGTGGATTTTTTTATAGATAGATAGATATATCTGTGTTATAATGCCAGGAGAATCCTAGGTTAAGCATAATCCAACCAGCAGTCTACAGGCCAAGTCTACAAAACAATCCCACCCATCTTTCCATTGCACAAGCCAGAAAGCCATTTCTTGAACAGAACATGGTCCCTTAATAGCCAAACAACTCCTCTTCCAAGCAGCCAAGCACTTCAACCCTGGGAAGAGATGATGGGACTAGACTCATGCTTCATCTTGTACATGCACGCAACCTACTTGGGTCGGGAGGACTGGGGGGAGAGGGAGTGCAGAGAGAGGAGGAGTCTGAAAACTGAGACTTCTATACCGGTTGACACCAGATCATCTTGATCTATACATTACCTACCTTTTTGGAACCAAGTATCACTTGAGGAAACTGGCAGTGTCCTGCCTTCCTCCTCCCCTGGCCTAGTTCCGAGTGGATGGAGACCTGTGACCTTAATTCTCCCTCCAATGTGTATACGCTGTAGTTGTCATACCAATTATTAACAAATATAGTTTGCAGTAAGATGCAAATTCTTTAAAACATGGGTGTCACTGAAACCATTCTCCCATAAAACAGAGTTATCACAGAAGTGCAGAATAACTAAGGAGGGAAGGGACCTCCAGAAGTCACCTAGTCCAACCCCTGCTCAAAGGAGGTCTAATTAGATCAGGTTGGTCAAGGCCACATCCAGCTGAGTCCTAAATATCTCCAAAGTTAAAGGTTCCACAAGCTCTCTGGGCAGGTCTGAAATTACCAGAGAAAAAACACATGCAAGGAAGGTTGTGCCTCAGTCAGACCAACAGGCCTTAGACTTGCCTCTGACAGTGGCCAAAAGACGACTCTCAAGGTCGATCAAACATGATCAAAGTGGTACCTGGAAAAGGAAAGTCTGCCTGCAACTGTTAACCATCGTTGTGATTTATGAATGGCGCACACACTGCACTGACATTTGTCACTAAAACAACAATGCTTTTTGTTTCACTAGTGAAATTTTAATTGAACTAATGCAATTAGTCTACAATTCCAAATTTCTTCTTTATCAATGCAAAAGGTCCCATATGCTCCCTCATGCATTCCAAGTTCTCCATGCTTCTCTTCAGTAACAAGACAGGGCAGCTGTTCCGTTGCAAAATTCAGCAGCAGATTTACAATTAAAAGAATGGGCACCAGAAAGTTGGCTATTTCCTGAAATCATCCAAGGACCCTGGCTGTCTTAGTCTCCTTTTCATCTTCTTGCTGAGACTCCATCTGCAGTCTTAGCAGAATTTCAGAAACATAGCTATAGAAATATACATTTCAGAAGTTCGTAACGGAGCTACAGGATCACATATTTTGTTAACAGAATAGTCAGGGATTTTGCTCCAATGCTGCAACATTTTCACTTGGAGGTTATAAGGAAAAAAAAAAAAGAGCATGTTCCACTCTCTGAGTATGTAAGTGAAGATGAAAGCAAAATCCTCACTGAGAAGTAAATTCACAAGGGTCTTAGGGCAAACTCTACGGAAGCTCTTCCTCTTGTTGGGACATTCACAAAACATTCTCCTTTGGAGATACCAAGATGCATAATAAGGGTTGAACACACATTTCAGCTTTAAAACAACTCCACCAGAAGTAAATCACACCCAAGACCAAAAAAGCTCCCACCACTGGGAACCAGCTGTCATTCATTCTGGCACCTGAAGAACATTTACTTTCTACCAAACACAGAACACTAGTTTCAAACCCAGCTGAAAGAATCCCTGCTACAGAAGTCACTATGTTGATCCAAACCTATAAATCATAATTTTTCCTAATAAATTAGATATTGTTAAAGAAAGATTACCGATTATTTATTTTTGAAAAGAAGCTACTTAACCAACTTAGAGGCAAACCTAAAAACAAACATTTCCAACAATGGAAGCAACAATATTAACTGGAAATACCACTCTACCACATTTTTCTAGTTTTTTGGTGGGAAGAGGGAAAGAAGAGAGGAGAGACAATATGACAGGCCAATTTTCCTGTCATCTTCAGATTCTTTCATGTAAATTTGTCAAGTAGGATATACAGATTAAATGTCAAATTATTTTGCTACTTATTTTTCAGACGCAAAGAGCTTGCATGTCTGAAAGCTCATCATCTTACCCATTACTCATTGGTTTAAGATTAATTTCTATTATCTGCTAAAATCATCATGGCTACATTAACAATACTAGTAACTCAGTTTAGGATAAGACTCAATAGTTTGAAACTTCCAGATGTGAGACACAGTCATGACATTTCATTAACAGAAATACACATTCACTAATTCATATATGTAAATTAAAATCTTTATTTCAAATGAACATTTAACATAGACCGTAAGCCAAAACAAACCTTAACAGTGACTTACCAGGAAGCCTGTTCATGTTGACCCCTTGAGCAGAAAGTCCTATTCCCATGTACCTTCAAAAAAAAAAAAAATCAAACAAAATATCAGTCAAGCCAGAATGGCCAAGCCACAAGATTTCCTGCAGCAGAAATATAGCAGTAAAAAAACCCCAATCCACAAATCATTTAAGGTAAAAATGTTGACATCACTAAAGATTTTCCACTACTTTTTTTAGTCTTTTCTTGAATCCAACATAAAATGTCAGTCTACTTTAACGACTGACAGCTTTCTGAACTACAGCTGCTCTTTAGCTCTTAATTGGTAGGAAAAGGACTAGAAAACAATCAGCAATTAAATTTCTGGGGTTTGGGGTTTTTTTCCATATATCAGGAAAAAAACCCTATATATAGGTGATTAACAAGAGAGTAAAAATACATAAGGGCAGATATAGTATATGAGAACAAATGTCCATCTAGCCTAACGTATTGTCTCCAGGTATAGCTGGTAGTGGATGCACAGGACGGAGCAAACAGTTGTACTTTCCAAGAACATTCTTTCATTGTCCAACATATATTTTACACAATTTCCTAAGCAAAAGGTGGTCTTCCTGTATTTCACACCCCAATAGATTTTCCTCCATTAATCTGATTGCTTTCTGAACCTTTGTAAGCTCTTTGAAAAGGCAACATCCTGCAGCTCCACCATTCAATTACTGTCCGAGCTAGTTTTGCTTGGTACTTGCATTTTTATAATTGGAGGAGAAAGGAATAGCATTTCTAGAGAGGAATAGCATTTCTCTAAAATCCTTGAGAAAGTTAACAAAATCCTCATTCATACCCCGCTCCCCAATGGTCTCTTCTCAAGGTTGACTACTCGCAGTCTACTCAGCTGTTCCTCTTATGGAAGCTCATCTATACCTCTTAATACTCTTGCTACTTCCAGTTCTGTATCTTCTTTGAGAAGCAGGGGGAAACCAGAACCACAAGCACCATTCACAACACAAACACATGGTGATTATTACAGACAACAGTATAATGATGTTCTCCATTTTGGTTTCTATTCCTCCCCCTCCTGGTCTCTATTATTCCTTTTATTTTTTGACTGCAGATGAGAACTGAGATGATTTTTCCATGGAACCAGGATGCAAAGAACTTGTGTCTGCACTGTAAGAGGCAGCTCAGAGACCATTTTTTGTGTCAAGTTTGGATTGTTTATTCTCCCCCATGAGAATCATTTTACATCTATCCAGCCCAAACTGTATCTTCCATTTTATCATCCATAGTCAGCCCTTGATTTTACAACTCTAGTTAGCTTCATATCATCAGCAAAAAATATCGTCCTACTATTAATTTCATGTCCAGGTCATTTATTAAGGTAGTGAACATCAGAGGTGTGGTACACATCCCCACAGAAATCCACTGGTGAGCGTCCTCAGCTGCAGGGAGGAGAGGGGGCATGACACACACACACGGGCCATTCATTTCTCTGCCCTGCTTCCTACCTGTCAGCTAATCGTGTCACCGATCATTCACACAAGCTCCTTCACTTTATCCCACGTTTCCTTTACCTTCCTCAAGAATTTTTGACATGGGACCTTGCCAAATGGCTTTTGCAAATCCAAACAGACTGATCTTTATCTACTTCTGCGTTCAACGGGTCTGTAAGTCATAGCCAGCCTTTGCAAAGGCTCTTCTTCCTCACTGCAATATTTATGCACATACCCATTTTGTTTCTTCTATTTCTGTTAATTTGCATGGTCTGTAATTCTTCTAATATCCCCTGGAACCACAGAAACAGCCGCCTTGCTCAGTTTGTTTTTAACAAGCTTCCATATTTTTAGGTTACTGTGCTTTGAAATTAACAGTTACTGTTGGGCTCTTGTTCATAGAATCATTCAGGTTGGAAAAGACCTCTAAGATCATCAAGTCCAACCGTCAACCCAACACCACCATGCCTACTAAACCATGTCCCTAAGCACCGCATCTACACGTCTTTTAAATACCTCCAGGGATGGTGACTCAACCCCTTCCCTGAGCAGCCTGTTCCAATGTTTAGCCACTCTTTCAGTAAAGACATTTTTCTTCATGTCCAATCTAAACCTCCCCTGGCACAACTTGAG